TAATCTATGGAAATGGGGAACCACATTTCTCCCACCTTTTCTTCGTTTTTTTTTTCTGAAATGTTTGGAAATGGCCAATAGGTTGCTGCGCTGGATTYGATCCCCACTAATCTGGGTAGGGATGATTGGCGGGAGGGAACCATAGTTCTCCCAMCTTTTTYYGATTTTTTTTTTTTTTTAATCTATGGAAATGGCGAATAGGTTGCTGCGCTTGATTCGATCCCCACTAATCAGGGTAGGGATGGTTGGTGGGAGGGAACCATAGTTCTCCCACCTTTTTTTGATTTTTTTTTTTTTAAATCTATGGAAATGGGGAGACACATTTCTCCCACCTTTTTTCGTTTTTTTTTTCCGGAAATGTATGGAAATGGCCAATAGGTTGCTGTGAATGGGTTCGATCCCCACTAATGTGGGTAGGGATGATCGGCGGGAGAGAACCGTTGATCTCCCACCTTTTTTTGTTTTTGTTTTTTTTTTCTGAAATCTATGGAAATGGCGAATAAGTTGCTGCGCTGGATTCGATCCCCACTAATAAGGGTAGGGACGGCTGGTGGGAGGGAACCATAGTTCTCCCACCTTTTTTCGTTTTTTTTTTTTTTTTATCTATGGAAATGGCGAACAGGTTGCTGCGCTGGATTCGATCCCCACTAATCAGGGTAGGGATGGTTGGTGGGAGGGAACCATAGTTCTCCCACCTTTTCCGTTTTTTTTTTTTTGAAATGTTTGGAAATGACAAACAGGTTGGTGCGGTGGATTCGATCCCCACTAATGTGGGCAGGGATGATTGGTGGGAGAGAACCTATTCCCTTCCCCACTTTTTTTGTCGTTTTTTTTTTTTTTAATCTAAGGAAATCGCGAATACGGTGCTTAGCTGGATTCGATCCCCACTAATGTGGGTAGGGATGATTGGCGGGGGAGAACCATTGATCTCCCACCTTTTTTTTCGTTTTTTTTTTGTGAATCTATGGAAATGGCGAATAGGTTGCTGCGCTGGATTCGATCCCCACTAATCAGGGCAGGGATGGTTGGTGGGAGGGAACCATAGTTCTCCCACCTTTTTTTGATTTTTTTTTTTTCGAATCTATGGAAATGGGGAACCACATTTCTCCCACCTTTTTTCGTTGTTTTTTTTTCTGAAATGTATTGAAATGGCCAATAGGTTGCGGCGCTGGATTCGATCCCCACTAATCTGGGTAGGGATGATTGGTGGGAGGGAACCATAGTTCTCCCACCTTTTTTCATT